GCATTTTGCCCAAAATAAAAACATCATCGCTTTCTCAAAATCACATAAAGCCATATTATAACATCGACTGAGATAAAGAATAAAATGAAATATTAAAAACACGATATATCTCGCTGCATTGCGCGAGTACGCTTCTAGTTATATTATAAAACATTTGGCTAAAACTCTTAAAAATAATTTTTATGTATAAAATACTGTTTGTTGACGCATATTACTTAAAATTCAAGATTACAAGTAGAATGTGCATTAGTACATCTTATAAAGCATCATGCTTGAATTTGTATAACTAACTGTAGATAAACATAATCAAATACATGATAAACATCATTTTAAATATAAAAATTATAAAATATAATTAAGATAGTCATTGAGTTCTAACATATTACTTAATTATTACCTTAAAAAAATTATTTTATTAAACCAAAAATAAGTTAGTTCATTTTTAAACTTCAGTTAAGTTATAATAAGAAATTCAATTAAAGAAATTACACAAAAACGATAACTTTTAAATAGTTAATTTGATATTAATATTGCTTATTTTTTCAAAATTTTATAATATTTTCAAATTTATATTTCATTCAAAAACAAAAATATTTTCGTTTTCTCAAAACCACATAAAATTGTATTATAAAATCAATAAAACTAAAATATAAAACGAAACATTAAAATCAAAATATATCTCGTTCTATTGCATAATTACCCTTCTAGTTACAATAATCAAATAACTAAAATCTACTTAACCAATATTAAAAATTAATTATCATATTTAATTTCAAAACCTACGAGTCAAATATCCCATTGTTTCCACATAAATCGCAGACCGCTAGCGTTCTTTTACTTTGAAAAAACGGAATCCTTCTGGAATCCGAATATTCCGTTTACGTGGGCCCTACTTTCTCTTCAACGTCCTTGTTAAAAAAGTAAATTACGTTTCTAGTCCTTAGGGTTTGTTAAAATTTGATATTTTCGTCCCTGTGGTTTCAGTTGCAGTTTTAGTTCCTTGTGGGTTGAACTAATTGTTATTTCCTACTTCTATTTTAATTACGATGAATTAAAAACAGAAATGAAATTGTAAACGACAAGTACAAAAATAATAATACATTCGTAAAATATATATGAGAATTTTAATTTTAAAAGTACAGGGACAAAATTAGCCATTCTTAGAAAACTACAGGGACCAAAAATGTAGTTTAGTCTTTATTAAAATCCCTTTTTTACGGTTCCTTTGTTAAACAACCTGACTGGACCAAACAAACAAACAAACAAAACCTAACATGTGCGAGAGCTTGAACAAAGACTATCAACTCTGCGAAGAACTCGGCCGAGGTCGGTTCGGCATCGTCTACCGGTGTTTTTCTGCCCTCACCGGCGACTCCTTTGCCTGTAAGTCCATCGACAAGCGTCTCCTCTCGGATCCCACCGATCGAGAGTGCCTCCAGAAGGAACCTAAAATTCTTCACGTCCTAGGCGGAAACCCTCACATAGTGCAAATCCACGGTCTCTACGAGGACGATAATTATGTTCATATGGTGATGGATCTCTGTGACTCTCCGGATCTCTTCGACCGCATCTCGAAACACGGCGGAGCGTTTTCGGAGTCGGAAGCGTTTTCGGTGTTCTCTCCTTTGATTTTATCGATTAGTTATTGTCATTGTTTAGGCATTGCGCATCGAGATATCAAGCCAGATAATGTGTTGTTTGATTCGAGGGGAAAGTTGAAGCTGGCGGACTTCGGATCGGCTGAGTGGTTTGGGATGAATGAGCGACAAACGATGATTGGAGTTGTTGGCACGCCGTACTATGTTGCGCCGGAGGTCTTGTCTGGTAGGGAGTATAATGAGAAGGTCGATGTTTGGAGTGCTGGTGTGATTTTGTACATAATGTTGGCTGGAGTCCCTCCTTTCTACGGAGATACGCCGGCAGAGACTTTCGAAGCAGTGTTGCGAGGAAATTTACGGTTTCCAACGAGGATTTTCAGGTCTATTTCGCCGGAAGCGAAGGATCTGTTAAGGAAGATGCTATGCAAGGATGTATCTAGACGATTTTCCGCTGAACAAGTTTTAAGTAAGTCCTACATCCTACTAGCTCTGTTTCCGAACCTTTTCCATTCTTACTTTGTGACAATAAAATTGATCACTAAAACCTTAAATTTCGTACGATCCTCTTCCCATTTTGGGGCTTTTACCAGCTCTAGCATGATGAGACATTTGGAAATCCAACTAGTGTTCATTCTCCTACAATTTTCCAAAAGTCAAACTCGATATAAACCCTAGATTTTGAAAATCTAGTAACCGGTGTGTTCTTGAGCAAAATCTAACTTTAATTTGTTGGAATTAACTGTAGGACATCCGTGGGTGATAAATGGAGGTGAAACTCGATCAGTGGCGGATTTAACCTGAGAAGAAAGGTATGATGTTCTACCAGTAGTACTAGTTGAGACATGAAATCAACCCGGGTTTTTTCATCTGTTGATTTTACCCCTCCCCCCCTTCTTTCCGCCAATGAATCAACAGATGAGAGTGAAAAAGCTCGATGAAGCTGCAGAAGACCAAGAACTCTAGTCCATGTATAGTCTCTTCTATCTCTTTGTTTGCTTGTAATCAAAATTGATTCTTCTTCCTGTTCCTGTTCCCCACAGAAGAAGAATCATGAGTGGTAAATATTTGGTAATAAGAGGAATGATTCCTTTGGTTTTGCAAAGCATTGGAGACCATAGATTCTTCAGTTATTCATGGTTGGATCTGATTATAATTAAAAAAGATTGAAGATGGATATGCTATCAAAAATGGAGAGTCAACATATCATACGATTCGAATTCCAAGAAAACGAAAATTGAAATACGTTTTTTAATGAAGAATATGAAAACAATAAAGAAGTAGGGTAGGGGGTGATGTTGATTATGGAAAAGTGAAGAGGAGTCCCCAAATTGCGGGGAGGAAGACATGGAGGGATCTAGAAACCCACATGCATTCCTTCTACTTGTAACGTACGCTTATTCATAAATCCACCAAAATAATTAAATACGCTTATTGATAAATCCACCAAAATAATTAAATACGCTTATTGATAAGCATAAGTTAATTTATGAACTAATTTAATTTTAGTTTTGTATAACATGAGATGATTTATAAGCTGACTTATTTAAATTGGAATTTATTAATTAATATATTTTATTATTTTAATTTTCTTTACCATATGATTTATATTAATTAAATATACAATGAAATATTAAAATATATAAAATTTTAAATGTGTTCTTTTTGGTCAGTTTATATTTCTTAACTAGTTTTTGTAAAACGTAATTAGTTTATCAGCTACCAATTAACTTATCAGTTAGTTTACCAAAAACAACTTAAGGTTGGATCAATCACTTATGAAATATTCTTTGTCTTCTGAAATCATCCATCGGAATTATATTTTATTTATAAAAAGTATATTTCATAATTCATGAAATAGACAATTGTAATATCTTAGTTAATTTATTTCAGACTTGAAAAATTGGAATAAAAATAAGATTCGTCCAAAACATTTAGCTTTGTCAAGTTCTTTTCAAAATGTTTCTTATAAAGATAAATATAAGGATTGGTTTCTGATTAAAAAAAAGTGAGTTAAGATGAGAAATGCAATAAGGAATCTGGACCCTTGATCACTTTTAATTCCAAATTCATCTATGAATCATGTTTATTATGAAAATTGATTTAGTGCATCTCACCCTAATATGCAGTCAAGACTGAAGACCCATTTTTACCTTAACTCTCCTTACTATAATCCAACTCATATATGGGTTGCATTTGAAACAAACACTATATATATATATATATATATATGTATATATATATATATATATATATATATATATATTAGAAGTGAGGTATTTTTTCTACAACTTGTTATGAAACTTAAATGCGAAATGGGTATTTTTTTTATTAATCTGGATATCCAGCCCGCTATACGAGCTGACTATTCTCAGGACGACCACCTGTTTTGCAGATAGCTCGGAGTCACCGCATTTGAACCTCCATGACCACAAGAGGATTTTTATTTCTCTTTGGATTTGAACCTAGGACCTCCAAATACTTTTGACCTTTGGAGCCAAGCTCAAACTAATCATATATCACTCTTACGGTTGGAATGGGTATTTTTTGTATACAAACGTATTTCAATAAAATGATGTTTGTTAATATAAATTCAAATAAAAACCAAAAACCAAAAAGTAAACAAAACTAAACAAAAAGCAAAAAGCAAAAAAGTGACATGCAAAAGACTAGTTTTGTACTCGGAAAGGAGGTATCTCTCAAAAAACCTCCGTTGCACATGTATTATAATAAAAGAAATCTACTATTCGTCCCTAGTTTATATAAATATCGTCTAAAGAATTTGACTTTTATATATGTAACCCAATTCCAATAATATATATATTATTATTTCTCTATATATATTATCTCTTGTCTTTTTGTGTGTGTAGTATTTAGCTCTTTGTTTCGTTTTCTACATCCTGTAAAAAATTAAATTGTTCCCTGATCTTTTGTAGTTATTGTTTTGTTTAATATATCTAGTTTAGCCTTTTTTTAAAATAATAATTTTAATACAAAACCTAATCCAGCATAATAAAAACAAGTTGACGATAAGAGGAACATGGGATGTGATTATCCTATAGACACACATATACATACATACAGAGACTGGAGAGAGTATCTGTTTAGGAATTGTGTGAAAATCGTGAGAACTCTTGGATGGTTTTCTTTTTTGTAATAAAAGAAAATTACAGTCGAATGATTGTAAGGGAGAGACTAAATGTTCACATATGTTTAAGATATCTTAACGTAAGTTAACCGATTCTCATAAAATCAATCTAAAACATGTCCAATTACAAAAAGCCAAAAGATCAAAGTCATGTGTGTGCTTGTCTTCGGGTTTGAGAGAAAGAGAGAGAGAGAGACCAAACACTTGGAATCTCAAGGGTACACATGCCAAAACGATGTTGCATTTGGCATTTTGCAAGAAAGTAAGAAAGAAATATAGTACTTTGAATAAAAGTCTTGGTTTAGTTGTTACTATCAAGTCCTTTTTTTTCCACGTTCTACTTTGAATACATAGAATTACAAGTCCACTATCCAATTCATACAATTTAAAATATATAATTCGTACAATTTAATGTTCAAATTCATACAATCTAACTACCAGGAGGTGGGGGAGGGGGGAAACGTATCCTGACTGCTGCATAAACGCAACAAAATGCTTCAATAAGTCGGCTTGTTCGGCTAATTGGGCAATGTGTTTGGCCTATTCGGCCTCCAAATCTTCCCTACTCTTCTGTTCAGCCTCCATCTCTGCCTCACGGCGTTCCTCCCGTAATCGCGCCTCCTCCTCTACCTTTGTCAACTTCTCTTTCAACTCCGCTACCAATAGATACTCAATATTCGACAAAATCAATAATTTGTTCGCAATGACAGTAATGAGAAAGTATATAACAATATAACCAACGTACCTCCATTGTTAAATCGTATGATCTCTGGTGCTACTGCTACATCTACCCGTCATAGCACAAAAGGGATCCTAGGAGGTCCCGAAACCAAAAAGGCGGCCCTTCTTCTGTCCTCCGACACTCTGCTCCTAAAGAGATGCCTCATCAGGAGGAAGGGTGTCGGTACTAGACTGTGACTAGCGATTGAAATCGCTCCTATGGTTCACCAAAACAAAAATGGGTTGAGGTTATATATGTAGAAATTCCAGCAACATAACGGCTGTAAGTCAAACATATCCAATGCTTGTTTTTAATAATTAAAGCATTCTATCTACATAGCCTAATGCCTGCCTAACAATGCCAGCCCAAACTAATAGCATCATTATGGTTATTAAAATATATTACTTTAAACTTACCAAATGTATCTATAACCCAAAGTAGTGGTTTTAGAAAACTTACACGATTTAGAAGCTTTGGGGCAACTAAACTGAGGAGGATCGGTAGACGGGCCGAACAAATCTTGATCGAACTTTTGGTTCGTGCAGTGAGTACGCTCAAACACCTCAGTAGTAGTCGGTTCACGACCCGTTACATGTGCGTATATTATACAATTAGGTTAAGTTGTTAGTAAACATAGAGAACAAAATACATATTCAAAAAAGATTATATACTCACCATCCTATCTTGATGCTGTGTAGTGCTGATCGATCATCTTGTGTGCCTTGACGATACCCCTTCAAACTGTGTGTTCCGATTGGTCTTATTGATCATGGATTTCCTTTTCCAAGGTTTGGTATCCCAAAACTGTTAAAAACAGGCACATATATAAGTTGTAAAAAAACACATGGCAGTTCATAAAGCATGTATACAAAAATGTGTGAAGTCTACTCAAGATTCAACAAACACTGAAGAAACTTTATAGCTATTCCAGTGTCAATAATAAAATGAATCTTGTTGATTAAGATTCATTTTTGTCTTATCCCCCTGCACACAAAGGACAAACACATACCTCTCAAAGTAAAACACTCATACAGAGTCACTCTATTGTCTCTAAACATGCTTACCTACTTTGTGAAGGACTACTATTCATATATGGCCAAAAGCATGTATATCGGAAGACAAAAGACAAGCTCACCTCTAGAAGCTTGCCACATGCCTTGTACCGTATGACTTGCATTTAATGCACTGGGTATAAATAGCCATAGAGACTTCTTTCCATACACAAGATAGACATATAAGAAGCACATAATTCTTAACCCTGTGAAGTTACGTTTACTTTAAGTGAAGAACATCAACCAAGCTTACTCTCAAGCAAAGTTATTGCATCTTCTTTAGCAAGTCTTTTCTTTCTTGCTTTTCTGTATCTTATGTGCTCCTTAGATTGTTTTAGATAAGTTTTGTATCTTGTCTTATTCCGCAAACAATATGTAAATTATGTATTAATCTTCTCTTATCAATAAAGGATTTTAAAAAGTAAAATATTTGTGTGTTTGTATTCATCCCTGCTTCTATAAACTGTTACCTCTAAACTTTTGTAGATCCGTCTAGGACCAACACTTTGTCATTGTTATCTCCAAAAGGTACAATTGCCTTTAGTTGTTGGACCATCAGATGGTGTCAAAGTCAAGTGATGGTTAGCCTATTTGCCAATGGCTTCATCAGTTGGTCAAAAATGACGCTTGTTGGTGAATTTTTGTGGATCATGAGCTAGTCTTCAATTTGATATCTTTATCTAATATTCAACACTAGTGCATTCATCTGAATTAAACTACTTCACTCGTCAATGTCAAATCTGTCTTCATCTGATAGTTTGTTGTCAAATCATTTACCAGTAGGAATAATCTTGAACTATCACCTGCGAAGATGTTATCAGCTCATGTTGCACTATTAGTTGATACATATCAACAGTAGTGCCTAGAAATGGCACTCCGTCATTTACCCAATTAGCTAATGTTTATTACATTGTCAATCATCAAATGTTCTATCTAATTAGGGTTTAACAAATGTCTCACCATCTGCCTAGCTTTTTCGACTTTCGTGATGGGATCTCATGGAAGAATGCAAGTAAATGGAGGGAGGCGACTGTAAAGGCGAGGTTTTTTAATATAAATGAGTTAAAAGTGAAAAAAAAGACTATAATGACCCTCATTTCAAGGCGTTAGAAAGAAAAACCAATTTCAAACTTTTTTTAAACCATGATAGCTAAGTCGTAGTTTTTAAATTTGAAAAAGAAAAAACACCAAGGACCAAGTATATATTTGACTAATAATTATGAAAACAAACAAAGAGTTATAGGAAGGTTTTTTGGTGGAATAAAGATGCCAAACTGTTTATATGACATATACTCGTCCATCAAGTCATGTAAAAGATAAGTTTTGATGTTGATATGCATAAAAAAATTACTTGATAGCATATATTTAATCCACCGCTATCCTTAAACAATTTTTTCGTAGCCTTTTAAGCTCTATCAATACATTTTATTTATATATATATATATATATATATATATAAAATATATTTTGGAGTAAACTATTTTTTAGTTTCTATGATTTGTTAAAACTTAGGATTTTTGTAATTTCGAAATTGTAGTGCAAGTCATTTTTGTTTTCGTTTTTTAGGTTAACTACATCAGTAGTGTAATGTTAAGTATAAAAGATGAAAACAACAATAAACTGAAATTATAAAGACGAAGGCATCGATAAATTGTACATTATAAGGACGAAAACTATAATCTCAGAAGTACATGGACACAAGTAACAATTTTCAACAAATTACAGTGATGAAAAACATGGTGTACTCCATATTTTAAATATTCAACTATTAATTAAAATTTGTGACAAAAACACGAGTTAAATCACACAATATGTTTCAGTTTGGGGATCATGGGTAGTGGCGGATCCAGAAACTTTTATAGTTGGGGGCACACTTAATGGTGTACAAGAAAACTTTCAAAACCCAATAATTCATTCAGATGAAAACGGTTTTGGGTTTTCCTTTTCAGCTTAAACGATTCATTTAACCGAATAAAGATAACTTATACAAGTCGATTTTCAGTTGATTTTTTTACTAATTCATCGAGGTGTATAATTTTTATATTTTATATTTCGAACGAAAATATCAATAAGTACCGCAAATGGACCAATTAACAACCAAGATATCAAGTTGGGGCCCTTACCTTGTTCTTGTTGGGGGCCCTTGCCTTGTTCTTGTTGGACGTACAATAAAAAAGTTTACTAAACAAATCTTTTTATAGTCTTTTTTTTTAAATGGTGGGTTTGTTGGGGGCCTAGGACCCCTATCACCATGCACTAGATCCGCCCCTGATCATGGGTGTGTGTGAGAACATACTAACAAAACCTTTGTTACCAATACGTTATAGTTGAGCGTATTTTATGTAAAATTGTTTTTTTCTGATTAGACTGATATATTGTGTAATGCATTTTAAGGTTACTGACTATAAAATCATAGTAATTAAGTAGTCCTAATAACCAGAGGCTAAAATATAGGCATATAGATAATCAAAGGTGTTAGTTTGATAGTTTGAACAGTCGGTTCTAGATGAGAAAAAGACGGGGAGCTGAATGGGGAAAGCTTTGAAGATAAGAACTTGATCAAGGGCTTAATAAAACGCAAATAGACAATGTAACATATGATGTTGTTAGAGTTTTTTTTTTTTTTTTTTTTAAAAGGTAAATAAACATGTGATTATAATATTAAAATATTATTTTATGTTGGTGTTCTCACTTGATAATCATTTTTTGGATGTTCTTCATATTTTGAGGAAAAACCCTTACGTCTCCTACTTTCTCCATTTTAAAGATAGTTTTGGAGACGTTGTTGGAGCAAAATATTGGCTAAGATCCTCATTTTCTCCATTCCTCTTACAATACGGTTTCCGTCTACTAGTCTTGGTCCCTCGACTGGTCAATACTCCAACCAGGCCTTCATTCACCTATTGGCGTGTGGTTCGACTACATCAGTCTTGGGGGTTGTTTACCAAATTTTCTATCAAGTCCTGTATAGATAAATTTGTCTGTCTAGATAAATGGGTGGTGATGTTTACTTTTTTTATCTGAACCAACAGTATGAATAACATAAATGACCGATTTACCCCCAATATTAATTATTTGAACATCAAAACAAAAATCATAAAGAGGTTGACGATGGGGTGTCTCATTTGGGAAGGAGACGATGCTTTAAATAAGGGGTAGGGATGTCATTTTTGTGGTTGAATGAGGACAACACACCATTTCTATCTGTGCGATTAAGTAATGTTCTATGCAAATAAGCCGTAAGTAAAAAACCCAAATGCGCTATGCAAATAAGTCAAATAAACCAATAAGTCTAATTAAGCTGCAAGTAAACAACCCTTAGTCTTGGCTGCATCTAGATCGAGTATGCCCAAAATTTGGCCAACATCTATTGAATGAAAATCTACATTTTGGAAGTTCTCCAAGACAATTAAACCGGTTTTTGGGTTGCTCTGTTTTTCAACTTTTTCGAAACTATCGAATAACTGAACCAAATAAGGTTTGGGTTAATCGATTTTGGATTATCAATTTGGAAGGGAAGAAAAAGGTATAGGAGCTCCTTGGTATTATTTGTTACCATAACTATCAAAACATGGGTCTTAACGACAATATACACCACTGTATCACTAAAGTACAACGATTAGAAATTCATATATCTCGAGCATTACACGTCCAAGAGTCAACCAGAAACCATACTTCAATTGCTGAGTTTCATCAACTTCGCTGCAAATCTCATACTCTTGAACCCAGAAACTGCTGTAAACCGATAAACACCATTAGAGGCATCAGATAACAATAACACAATTTCGGAGAGAAAATTTCCATGCTTCAACTGGTAAGAACTTGCGTTTGCTCCCCCAGTGGTCAACAGTTCCAGTCCCATAAAACCCACTCAAGTTTTGTTTAACTTCGAGGTCCCATGGGATTAGTCAATCAAAAAGAAAATAATTAACCAAACAAACCCAGTATATCCCACTGGAAAGCAGTTCAAACGTAAATCTCATGTCTAATATTTTTACGGATAATTTAGACTGATGTTTCAAGCAATGAACAAATTACCTTGATTCCTGCTGGGGTATTTCCGGGTTTCGCAGTGGTGGTGCTCCCAAAAAGATTGATACCCGAGTTGAATTTTGTCTTCTTTTCGGCGGGTTTTAGTATTTGGAAAGAGCACATTAGAGTTTCATCGACGCTCATCATGGCACCGGCATTGTCAAATTCCCCACAATAATTGGGTGCAGAAAACACGGTCACAAGTTGTCGGTCAGCAAAAAACTCGTATCCATCCTCAACAACCTGCAGTCAATTACATAACTCTGTTGAAAGATGGCAAGAAATTTGTTGCATTCCCAATTCTCCCAAAATCTCCTAAGCATTGCATCCCCACACACAAACAATGTTCGTGCAGTGTTGTTTCATAGGTGAAATATCAAAAAATGTTTTGCATGTGAAAAAAAAACACAAAAATACGTTTACACATGAAACACTCTCATAATCACAGACATGGATGATTGTCAAGGTATCAAAAAACATGGTTAAACAATCAGGGACAATATGGGAAATTTGCCACAACTCAGGAACTTTTTAAATATGTATGCAAAGCCAATTTGCCAAAATCATACCTGGTGAGCACGACAAACGAGATCCAAATCATGTTTCTCTAGAAACTCTGTCACAATATCAGCACCAAAAGTATACGAAACTCCACGATCATTCATTCCCCAACCCTTAACTTCATTACAAGGATCTGACCAGAGAAGATCACATAGTAAACCGCTATCAGGAACATCTGTTGGCCGCCTTAAATTTCTTATCTGATCCAAATTATTAAGGTCGGGCGACAAGCCTCCATGCATACATAGAATCTTTTCATCAATGAGAGCAGCCACAGGCAAGCAATTGAAGCAATCCGAGAAGGTCTTCCATAACTTCACATTAAATCTTCTTTTGCATTCATCATAGAACCCATATATACGGTTTATAGAAGCACACTCATGGTTGCCACGCAAAAGGAAGAAATTATTTGGGTATTTTATCTTGTAGGCAAGAAGAAGGCATATTGTCTCTAGGCTTTGTTTCCCTCGGTCAACATAATCACCAAGAAACAAGTAATTGGCTTGAGGAGGTAATCCACCGTACTCAAAAAGGCGCAGAAGATCAGAGTATTGACCATGGACATCACCTGATGACCATTGGACAAGTTAAGTCAAAAATCAAAAACCACTTTAGAATCTAGAAGCAATTTAGACGTTAGAAACGTCCTCTTTTGGACAATTTTAGATGTGACTATATACAAATTAACGTAATCAAACGTAGCAAAAGATATTATTTGCTTTAATGGGTTTGAATTTTTCTTCAATCAACAACACCAAAAACAATAATTTTGCTTTTTAGATCATCATTTCACCAGAAACAACCGCTTGTTTATAATTTAGAACTAAAAATAGAAACAGCAAGCCGAAGTTTTGTTTACACAGCCAATTGCCAATACCAATAATTGTCTGAGCAAATTTATGTGCCTGAGTGCCTCTATATCTTTATTCGTCCTAGTCTACCATTTCAATATATTTCATTTAGTTCTAAATGTTGAGACAAGTTTGTAGCAAACCCTGGGTGCTTGGGTTTGCTCCCTAGATGTCACCAATTATCAAGTCCCCTCAGGACCACTGGAGGGTTCATCTGGCTGTTAATTTCTAGGTCCCATAGTCGAGGTGCACAAAGTTGGCACTGACACCCACGGTTACCCAAAGAAAGGTAAGACACCAGAGATATTAAGACTAATGATCCCCAACCCATGGAATACAAATTATGTGATGAATATCATAGGTTACTTCACTCATTGCAATTAATTTAAGTTGGAACCCCAAAATCAGATTCGGTATCCTGAATGATATGTGTACGTAAAAATCAAACCGAGCATCCGGAGGTGGGGTTTGAGAACCGTAACATGTAATGAGACTTGCCTCTACCTCAAGAGTAGAGAGAGACTGTTTCCGTGAAGCCCCCTGGCTTGTGAAACGGGCGCTATGTCTACACATAAAGGAAAGGCAATATATCTGTTTTATGGAATATTATCAACAGTAGTATGTTGTCAAACCATACACTATGCCCTCCACAGGGTCTCGCATCTGCCTGCCACTAATCAACAATGTTAAGTCTCTTGATTCTCTTACTAATAATCTTTCACCTGCTAACCAAGAAACCTTAAAAACTCTGACTTAAAGAAGGTTCATACGACCAAAAGATATCGATAAATAGATCAAGAAAACATTAAGATGGATTTATAATGATGCAGACCAACATCTTACAAAAGTAACATATCTTCTGTCTTCCTTAGAAATCCTCACTGATTACTAATCCTGAATAAGAGTGAGTATCCTTAACAAATTTCTGCAGCTGATCATCTAATCCATCATTGACTTAAAAGAGTTGACTCGTTTACAATCAAAGAATCGAACAACAAGCACCATTAAGCTCCCAAAAAACTATTACTATTAATATTACTATTCTGCTATGGATGCTGCAGTATCACGAAAATTATCAATTCTAAATCGTTTGTAATTCGTTTGCGGGGATCAAAAGTAGACGACCCAACTTCAAAGTTGAATGTATTGTGGGAAGTAAAAACAAAAAGGGACTAAATACTGCAATTGACCACCAGAAAACAAACTGTAAACTCATAAAATGAATCGAAAGTAAACCAGAAATCGAGAAGAACCAAATAATGAAGTCGATCGACTACATAAAACCCTAAAAGATGAATTGAAAGAGATGATAAGAAGAAGAAGAATACCACAAATCTTGACGGGTGCTTCAATTTCCAAGAGATTAGGTTGTTGCAAGAAAATCTCCCTAGAAACAAGACAAAGTTGCTTGATTTCTGGCTCGGTGAGTTGCACCTGCTTACCAGGTTTCCCTCTAACGCCAAGCAGCCTCTGAATGATATTATCAAGAACAGCCTGCTCCATATGGAATTAAGGGTGGGTGATTGAGAAGGGAAGATGGAGAAGAGAATCTGAAAAACCTAACTTGGGGGAATGTGTAAGTAAGAAGAGAGCAAAAGGGGGAAATTCGATTTGAGATACAAAAGGTCAAAGGGAGGAATTTGGAGGCTGTGGAAGCCAAAGTTCCCCCATGCCTTGTCCGATGTGTACGCCCACTCACCTTTACTTATATAAGGCTTCTTCAACTATTCTTTCAAATTAAAAACTATTTTAAATAATTAAGTTATTTTATTAAAAAAATATTCAATGACTTAATCAATCAAAATAAAAAAATTAAATGGTTTTCTATTTAAAAAAAAAGAAATTTTAATGGTTTTTTTTCAAAACTATAATTCAGGGAGTTAATCATTTAAAATGAGAAATTTAATAGTTTTTTGTTAAAAAAATAGGTTATGAACTAAACTGTTAAAAAATAAAAAAAAATTTATTGGATTTTTTTTTTACTTTTCCCTTTAAATAATTAATTTTGTTTTAAATTAAGATGGGGAACGGGGATGTGTCATTTAATTTCATGATTACATTCGAGTATTAATCAAATGTTTAAATGTTTTTAATACAACATAAGATGTAACATAATCAAAACTTGTCGTCTCATGTTTAATGCGATTTCAGTTTAGGACAATACAAGATTGATTGCATTTTTATCTCATCGAAATAGATGAAACAAAAATAAAAAAGATGGCGTATGATCAGTAAATTACTGAACTATCAATGATAAATTAAAACCCCTAAAATCTTTTACAATTCTTTCATCTGTCTACCTCACTCTCATCCTTCCATTTTGTCCTATTCAATCTCATTCGGTCTTGTCTAGTTTGATTTCCATACAATTGGCACCTTAAATGTCCTACAACATTATTGTAGATATCGCCTTTTATGAGTTGTTGGATGATAAGAGACATGGGACTAGTCCTTAACTTAATGAAGTTGTTCATGTCCTCCTAAGTAATAACTTAAAGCACTTAAGCACCTATGAATGGTAAGATTGTGTCATATCAATAATCTGACGCGTTATAATCCAAATTGTGCATATCGGTCAAATCAAACCGCAAAATTACGATTTTGTTTGACCAGCTTGGTCACTTCATGTCAAACTACATGATTTGGAGATTTTCTAAAATTATACTTGTGATTTGGTTTGTTAAAAGTGGGTTAAAATCAGACTAGATGAACTTAATACACCCTCTAATCGAACGGGATGGTGATGCTCTTAATACTGACTATATAGATGGAATTTAACCTATGGGGATGTGTACTCACTCGTAATGAGGTGGGGATTGCGCGTCATGGCCGGTACGACATGGGGATGATGGTTGAATTTTGTACCTAAAGCGAGTTTGAGGTGGGATCGATTATGGTACTATCCTCCCTTAATCCAACGTTAATCTCGATTTAAAGCTGAGAACTCAAACATTCGATCTGACTTCACATTTTGTTCTAGTATCCATCTCCTCTCAATTTTATTTTCATTGTTTTCTGTGATTTCAAAAGATTAATAGAATCATTGGTTGGTTATCAATTTTATAGAGTATAATGTCGTATTGGTAGAACAAACGTTTATATTGGGTTTGAAGTTGTTTATCAGTTACTTCTGTAAAATTCAAACGTGGAGCTTTTGAAAAGTTGTATATGTTAGGGTTTTGGACACCACAAAGATCCTAAAAAGCGAATAAAAGTAATGGACCTTTTTCAACAACAATCAAGTATGTGATGTCAATCAACATCTAATGCGGATAACAAATAGGATCGAAAGCACAACAAACAATCAACCAAAGAATTCGAAAGCACATAAAACATAAGGATTTACATGGTGCCACCACTGGTATTGTGCTTCTATTGTTGATTGTTTCTTTGATTATTAGTTTTTCAGCTAATGAAGTATCTCACTGTCACTGTGATGATGATGATGATCATCATGGTGATGGTGATGGATCTTGGAATCTTCATATTCTTGAAACCCAAAGGGTTTAGCGGTTTCTTGATCGAAATCGCGTATTTTTTATCCCTTAAAATTGCTTTACTCTCTTAGCACATCGAATGTGCCATTCAAATGGGTTCTTCTTCAATTCATTGCATTCATAATTCTATGTGGATTGACTTATTTGATCAACGGCTGGACCTATTATGGGCCACATTCTTTTCAGGAGATTATGGCTCTTACGATCGCTAAATTGCTCATCTCTCTAGTCTCGTGTGCCATAGCAATCACCCTTTTGATGTTAATCACGTTTTTTCTCAAAGTGAGACTCCAAGAGTCGTTCTTGAAACAAAGCGTGTTGGATCTAGATCAAGAAGTCAGGATCATGAAAAAACAAAAAGAAGCAGGATGGCATGTTCGGATGCTGACCCAAGAGATTCAAAAATTGTTAGATCTGCATACGATATTGTAATCGACTTTGGTCGACCTTTCCAACACTTTGGCACTTCAGAATTGTGTCGTTTGGAGGCTGAACGAGAAGAAAACCAAACGGAATCTAATGTATGAGTTAAGGTCCGGTTTTTCAGGTCATCACCACTCAGTTCCGATAAACGATCGTGATGTTTTAGAGATAATTCAGACCAAAGGGGTGACAATTTTGAGAGCGGATTCGGTTCTTGTAGTTGAAAGTAATGACGGGTTGAGTGAGTTGGGTCCCGTGGTGTCAATTTAGCTGTCAGTCTTTCATGTTTCCAATTTCAAAGGCGGTATTCTGGAATTGGTGGACACTTGTTACGCGATTCTGGTTTTGGTTCTCCCTAATCCTGGCGAACGAGAGTGGAGCTGCAACGAGATGTAGATAGTGATGGATCAAGTGGCAGTGGCTCTATCACACGTAGCCATTCTTGAAGAGTCTCAAATGATGCAGAAAAACTCGTGAACCAAAATCGTGTCCTGCAGGCTGCAGCAAGCAAAACAGAAGGAGATGATGGCAAGCCAAGCAAGAAACTCGTTCGAGAAGGTTATGCAATGAGACATCTGATGCACACCATCATGGGCCTTCTTTCAATGCTTCAAGACGATGATATCGAGTCCAATCAAGCAAACAACATTGACACAATCGCGAAAACGAGCAAAGTTTTGTCTAATTTGATAAATGATATGTTGAGAAAATAATTCAAATAAGAAAATGAACACCAAATAAAGATTTAATCTTTATAAAATTTAATTATATTATAGTGAAAAAGGTTAATCCTTTTGAATTCAGACCCACCAAAAACCTCAATACGTGTCAATTCACACAGATTGAATCTATCATTCGCGATAGATTCAATGAAAGAAAGGGGTAGAAGCAGAGTGTTCACTTAGTGAATGGGAAATTTAAATACAATGCGGAAAAATTATAAAACCAACTTGTATAATATTCTTTCGATTCGGATGAGGAACTGCACGAAAAACCTGTCCTTAAAGGTTTTATACGACCACTCTTTAGAAGTTGTGAGTCTGCTAGTCGCAAAGCCCCAGGATTTGATGTAGTAGGTAATTCATTTGTGAACAGCAATCATAAAGAATATAGAGCAGGTTTATGTAGCAAAACGGTAGAGAGAAAATTTGTAGACGGGAGCAGAATTTTGTCAGAGAAGAAATCAATTTTCGTATTGTTTTTTTTTTCGTATATAATGATACGACATCACCCAGTATTTATACTGGGTGAAACCCTAGAAGAGACCCAAAAGAATGGCCCACGAATCTCTCCAAAATTCGGAGATAGTGGAAGAAAAAATCTCAACCGAAATTTTATTTCTAAACCAAGTCAAAAAATTGGATTAATTAAAATTAAAATTAATAATTATCCACATTAAACTGATAATCCTCCTGACGAGTTTCTAGTAAAAAGATACTCGGAGCTCGGGGCGAGGCTCCTTCTGCTCCGATGTGGCTTGCGAAGTGCAAAGTGTGCCTCCTCACGCCACCTTCGCGAATCCCGCGCCCTCGGCATCGGCCACGGCCACTGCCATGCGCGCGTGTGTGTGTTGGGCCTTCCACTCAAGACCCCTACCATGAGCCCACTAACATGTTCAAAGCCCACTACTAGAGAAAGCCTTATAAGCTTCTCTAGAAATAAACTCTCTACCAATGTGGGATGGAAGGTTAACTTCCAACCTACAAATTTCCAACAATCCCCCACCAGGTTGGAAAGTTTCCTGACATTTATGGTAGACAATGTTACAGTAGTGTCACTAAGATTAAACCCTGTTTAATGTAAGTATGCAAGAAGGGATCAATCCAATGGTATCCTTAGGATTTAAACCTTGAATCTTGCGACCACTTCGGCTTACCTACCCACATCATCTATCCACCTTGCTCTCTCAATGAGCGCTATTATGGCCATGCGCTAAACCTTATTTCATGATTTACTCAAAGAGAAACCACTACTCTTCTTTTGAGGCGACACCACATCTAAGTCATATAGGCAAAGTTCTATAACATCTTCGTTGTTAAGATGCCTCTAAACTTTATTAAGAGATTAAATCATCCTTGTTCTCAACAACGCCGTACTATCTTTCATCTTCTATCAGTCAAGTGACTTGTTGTTACCCTTTAAACTTGGTAAATATGAGCACTATATCCAAGTTGGGTTTCCATCACTGACTGATTCTATGTGGTTTTAGACCCATATCTCTGGTGGTTGACCCTACCAAGTCTCTCGTTAGAGGCTTGGTTAGTGGATCTGCCAAGTTTCCACATGACTTGACAAACACAATACTTATGGTACCATCATCAATTAGTTGTCTCACGTAGTTGTGTCGGAGACCTATGTGTCGCGACTTCCCATTATATATAGCATTGTATATTTTGGACAGTGTGGCCTCACTTTCACAATACATAGGAATAGAGGGAGTCGATCGAGGCCATAAATGGATATCTGTCAACAAATCTCTAATCCATTCGACCTCTTTGCCCGCTGCCGCTAAGGCAATAAATTCGGCTTCCATAGTCGAATGGGCGATACACGTTTGTTTCTTGCTCGCCCAAGAAATCGCCCCTCCAGCAAGAGTATAAATCTACCCACTTGTGGATTTAGAATCATTTTAGTGATCTATCCAACTAGCGTCAGAATATCCCTCCAAAATTCCTGGATGCGTAGAGTATGTCAACTCTAGTTCTTGGGTTCTTTTCAAGTAGCCCAATACTCTACCAATTGCTTTCCAGTGATCTGAACC